TATTTTGCACAGGAAGCACAACATTCACTACTAATCTAATTTATTTTGCCGGAAAAATGTGATCAGAAGCAATTTTCTAGGACCGTTATCCCCTCGAAAATGGCCGGGGGACGCCGCTGGTGTGCGGCTTATGCGCCACAGGTGTGTGTCAGTTGTTTTCTGTACACACTCGACGTGGCCAACGTGATCTATAACTGATTTGAATCGGACGATTTTGAAAAATATCCCGAACTAATTGGGGAACGCATGAATTATGGGGCTGCGAGCAACCCGCTGACGAAGTTTATTGGAAATTTCACCGGTCGTTCGATTCCTCTTCGTTCGGGTCGAAGAAAAGGCCGGTTAATTACGTTCGTTTTTAATCGAGAAAATGGCATTCTATTAAATAAAACGCATAATAAATACCTGTACGTTCGAATTGTGGACATTAAAATGTAATTTTGATATTGATCGAGTTGAGTGAAAGATATGGATGAGCGCGGCCCACCAACGTGGTTATTGTAATAACGCCATTAGAATGGAAGAGATTACAGACCATCGCCGGCACAGGTACAGAAACTGTATCCAAGTCTTACAGTCGAGCTACCATTCGCGCCTCTGGTTACAGGCCCGGAGTTAATCACAATGTAAAAGCTTGTTTTCTAATAATTACAGTGTATTAATGTCAGCACAAGTTACTTATATCATTGTTATCCTTATATTCAAACAAAAAAGAGTAAACGAGAGAGTGGTAAATATAGTTTAACTGGGAAATATTATGGATAGGATGAATGGCGTGGAAAAGCGGATCCGATCCTGGGTTTCAATGATGCCGATCGTGATCGAAACCTCGGGCGAAAACCATGAAGACATTAATTTCACGTAATTTCAGCAAATGTTCCGTGTTTAATTAAATTTAAATTCTCCAATTTATTCCGAAATTGCTCGCCTCTGCTATTGTTTAATTTACGTTTTGTATACACAATTTCGTTCGGGCGTTATTGTTTCGCTATTTTCTTCGTCGCCCGAATTTTCCGACTGCAAGTACTCAGGTACTATTGTTCGTCGGGCGGGCAGGTAAAACGCCCGGCGAAGCCTGCTCGGATCGTACATCATTTCTGTCTATAGACATCAACGGTAGCCGTGGATAAGTCAAGACAATTCACTGTCCGACGGTGTTCATTTATTACGTTTCTTCTTGTTCGACTGTTTTGACTGACACGTTCGACGCTACTGCTCGATGTATGTAAAAAAGAAGAGTTTGATGAATGATGGTAGATTCGGATTTTTTCACTAATGATATCAAGGGATGGTATGGATGATGGATAGATGGGTGTGTTGGTTTTTCAAGCGGTGCCTATTGGAAAGTGTAACGATTTTTTTTTATAAGGAAATTTTCCGTTACCGAAACCAATTCGTCATAAAATTATAATGACCCGTTCGAGTTAAGAAGGCGTATTTAAAACGTTATTAATATGCATAATTCCAGCGGCATAAAAAAATCCATTATCCCCTTTATGGTCGCCGTAGTGCCAACTCAGAACATGCCATTTTTCACGACTTACCCTAATCAAGTACACTAATTTTAATTATAACTTGTCACACTATTATTTATACAGAAACACAATGTTTACATAATAATATAATGCTCTTACTATTTATAAAATAATTTACACATCGTGGCCACAACCCAACACGAATAGGAGCAACGTGTTATTTGTGAGTGTTGATCCCCTGATTGTTCATGTTTGACCGGGGCATTTTTAACACACGCCATTTGATTTTCACAAAATATTTCTTACATAAATTTTAAAGTTTCCCTTATTAAATTAAATTATAATTTTCTGTTTACAGGTGCCCAGAAAACCGCCTACACATTCAACAGGAAAAAGCTCTAACAAGACAAGAAACAGAATTTTTTAATACTCAATAAAGCTTAAACATTAAATATTTTTTAATAAAATCCAATTAACCTCTATCGCCTACACATCATATAAACTATTATTAATCTTTTATAGGAACTTAGCCCTACCCCCTATTTTCTTTAACGTAATCACGTCAAGTTCAAGCGTAAACTTTGCCGAAATTTCCCGAACAACCAGAAGAAAATCGGAGATTAATAAACCCTTGATTGATTGCAATTACTATAAGATGTTTGTTTTTGATACACGTCTCAAAATCTGCATGTTTTGTTACTTATCCCCGGCAATTACCGACGCCATCTCGCTTGCCGGGGTGATCGTGGTTATTGCGAGAAAGAAGGATGAAGGATTTCGGGTGGTAAATCATTGGTGTAACAATGATGTGTTACAAAATTTTTCCGTTAGTAAATAACCGAAAGTGGGAAAATTAATCTCATTAACCTGGGTAGTATGATGATGGTAATTGAAAACGTGACCTGTGCAACTTTCAAATAATAAATATTGAACATTTTTACCACGATTATTATTACTTAAAATGAGATTATTAAAAAATTGCGCTAAATTAAACCTGTAGTAACGTAGATGAATGTGTGTGTAAAAATAAATTTAGGTTTCAAAAGGGAAATTTTGTTTAATTTGTGAATGCGGAAAATGGAACGTGCGCCAGTGCCCGAAAGTTTTCCGGCTAAGGAGGAAAATTTGTTAGTGAATTTTGTTGCCAGTTTATACTTAGCGAGTTTAGTCATGCGGGGAATCGCAAATTTGCGATTATGGAAAATATATATTTTCTTACAAGTTTGGGGATTTTATTAATTAGAAGTTTTAACGAGGTATTCCAGATTAAATAGTGGCTTTTCCTTACATTATGTGTGTATTTAAGGGAAACTGTTTGGCTAATCGGAAAATTGCCTAATTGAATAACGACTGGGAAAATATTTTAGTTAATCGAGGCCTTCGGTTTCGCCCAGAACCGAATTTTCGTGTAACGATTTATTTGCCCATTTTAACGTTTCACATTTTCGATTACTGTCGCGTGTCATATGCTATAAATTTTTACGATATTGTCCACGAGTTATCCATACATTTATCAGTTATAGCTAAATAAAAAGCCGATGATGGATAGTTGTATAGTCAAGTATAATTTTCACGATACAGTAGGGCGTTCACTGATAGAAATCTTTTTATTTATTTTAGGGGAAAATACTATACTTTTTCCTATAATTGAACGTCTTCTTGAAATTACTTTTTAATAATAATATGTAGTAACGTTTTATAGATATTAAAATGTGAATGTTATTGTAATGGAAATTGAGGAAAACATCAATTATAAATTTGGATATCTCGCAAATTTTCCAATCTCGAGGCGACACGTCGACGAGGAGAATGATAGTCGCCCGTTCTCCCGACATACGCAGGACAATTAATAAACAACAATAATAAAGAAGCGTAACGAAGGGACGAATTTCGTCCCTTCGAAGCTCGCTTTTCGGGCACGAAACAACGTCTTTACAAATCATTAGTTATCCTTTAGGAGAAGGACCGTCCGACTCGTCCCGCGTTCGCCCCTTTTCCTCCTCGTTTCATTAATTAATCATCCGAAATTTAACATATAGCGTAATATATATTAGGAAAGCTGATGTATGGTGTTTGGTTATACGGCTGCAGCACGTTAGGATAATATTGAATCAACTTATGGATTATCGCCTTTGTTCGGCGCGAATAATTAAACATTGAACATCGCGGCAAGACCGGCAGGAGGGATTAATTGAACGGCGACTCGCGAGAAATTTAATCCGTTTCGAACGGATAAAGAAGAGGAAAAAAATCGATCGGATGAAAAACCTGATGTGCGGCTCACCCTTTTTCGAAGGCTCGCGGTGGAAGGAACCCTCTGTATAGGTGCGTGTGAACCGGCGATATTGTATATAGGCGATACCGCTTCGGATCATTATTGCTTTCTTTTATTTCGCGTCCAGTTCAAAGTTGAATAATAAAGAGGGCGAACGGTCGATGCAGGTGATCAGATAATCTATAACGGTCGGTGCTGGTTTTTTTTTCCAAACTGCAATAAAATCGGCCGGTTGAAGGGGTCCCGGTTACGCTGGACACTCGCCACATAAATTACATCATTCTTTATACACCTAACGAACAATTCCGCTAAATTAATACACGCAAAATTCAATCAACAATCCGGAAAAATAACAACGCACCAGACGTACAAAAAAAATGTGTAAGTCTTAAGGCTCCTGTACTACGCTCGTCGGCAGACCGAAATTACAGAGAACGGCGTTTGATTGCTTTTATTGATGAAGGGCAATCATAAAAAAGCAATCGTAGATGAAGTAATGATCCGTGATTGCAGCGATCCGCGATTGCATTTGATCTTGTATCGAGGAAAGTCGGTACGGGGAGATCACGCGAAGGCGCATTCAAAAACCGATTATTAAACCTACGTGCACGACTCGATATTGATTAGTATCAATTAAGCGAATTTGAAAACAACGTTTGACTATATGCATCCAGAACTGAATAAAGCACTCGTGTGTACCTACAGATAAATGATCACAAAAAATAAAATTGATTCAAAAATCGATTCGTTTTCTAGAACACTCTTTTCTCTAACCATCATGCACAAATTTCAAAATTTCTTAGTTGAAGGAATTAAAGATATTGTTATTTTTAAGTGGGGAATTCCGGTGTACCGATTTTCTGGGCCACCCTGTAGTGGTTAGGTAGGTAAACGTCCCTCTATAAAACTCTCTTAATTAAAGCGACCTTCTTATTTGAACGTATTTGTTGACTAATAAACGAAGAACAAAGCAAATTGTTGGGAGGTTGTAAAACGTTCACGCATCGAAATCAAATAAAACCGATCGTATTTCAAAGTATAATTCCCATATCGCTTCATTAATAAAGGTTTATTTTAATGGTTCCAGTCGGGGTTTTATAACTCCAAAATAGGGCCTATAAATATTGGCGCCTATCAGTAGCGCAACTTAAGTTTCTACTGCTCAACGCACGAAAAAATAGCCATTCGAAACATGTTCCCACAGTACAATAACACTTTATAGTGTATAATAAACGAACTAACTTGCTCTAGTGTTATTACCGTTTAATTGACTAATCGATTAATAAGTTACACACAGTCAAATCGAATCGTATTTGGCGAAGTTCGCTCCGACATCGTCTTCGTCGCCGTTGAATAGAAACTGAAACTCATTGGGCACGGGCCCGTGTATATTTTTCTCGAAAAATACGAATATCTGGAACCACCACGCCCTACTGTAAAAGTTCGTTTCTCCCGCGGTTTTCAGTTCTTCGTTATTGGCGATGGTGTGATACGTCCAAAACACCCTGGTCGTCATGTAGTAAGCTATAATTACGTCTATGAAGTAATGAGCGTGGGCCAGTTCCAGCATTAGAATACCCGCGAAAGCTAAACTCCTGTACAGCCAGTGCACAATCCACAAGTTTTTGGAAGTGTACTCGGACATCAGCAGGGCTAGTAATACTAATAGAACAGTGTGACCGCTGTAGATGAGATCTCCACAGAATTCCTGCGGTCCGATCACCGACAAACCGAAATTCGGTATCAACGAAATCGATCTCCTCAATATCTGGTTGATATTCGGATGGGCCAGCTTGGGAGCGCACATGTACTTCTTCGAAGCCGTCGGTAGAATCGTCGCCGACATCGTAATAGTCCTGTACAGGTACAAAACGGACATCATAAGAAATATCCGCCTAAATATAATACTGCTATATCTATGAAACAACAATATAGAGGTCAACGACGTGAATATCATGAACATTATTATATACTCCGAGATGAAGAGCCCCGGCTTGAACACCAGCACGGTGCTCAGCACGATGTCCGGCAGAGGCCCGTCCGATCTGCTCGGCACCTTATCGTGCACCATGCTCAACGCGATGAGGTTCAGGAACAATGTCAGGCAGAGTATCAGCGCCGCTAAGGTGGTTTTCCAGATCTCCGATGGGTGCGCGCAGCCCGTCGAAGAAGGCGCGTCGCCGGAAGGCTCGTCGGAATCGTCACTGGGCGAATCGCTGCTCGTCGGCGACGATTTCCTCGCCGATTCCGCCTCGCAATTGAACGTCACCACGTGGTCTTTCTGGCTGCGAATTCTACCTTTCGCCAGGACCGATTCGAACGAAGCGGGGTCTTTGAGGGCGCTCCTGCAGCAGTCCTTGTTCAGCTTCCGCTCGACTATAATGAAGTCGTCTTCGTCGAGCCGGTCCTCTTCCACGTAGATGGTGATGTTTTTGCTGGTGAAAATCTTGGTGTGAGATGCTGCTTGGTTTATTAAGCATTGGTTTTCTTTGAGGATGGATTTGGGGCATTTTTCTTCGGTGCAGTCGCGTTGGCATGGCGGTTTGAAGGCGTTAATGTGGGTAATTTTGTTTATGTCTGCAGACATGTTGCGATTTTGACATCTTACGTCGTTTGTGATGAGGGGTTTTAATAGTAATTTACTATCCAATGAACTGTAGAACAAATCCTCGAGTGGCTTGAAATAAGTATAAAGGGATCCGATAAGGAATTAGTGACTGTCGATCGGTTGGCGGGGAATTCTTCACGTGTTCCTCGAGACATATGTACCTGTTCTCATTAGATGTTGCCGACAAAAGGCTCATTTTTGGCAATCAAACCGGTCCCTTTTTTGTCGGATCGATCTATTGGTCTCGAAAGCGGACCGCATACCATCTACATGTCTTAATAGAATTAATTTCGGCCTATATACGAATTTATTACCGGGTATTTTTCATCTCGATTGTCAGCACCATTTGTAACGTCGTTGTTCTGAATACTCTCCGATCATTTTAAATAAAAAACTCCATAAGTCATATAATCTCTATTTCTTAGTATTATCTAAACTAAATCACAAAATAGGAGAGAAGACCGCCAGATAAAATTAAACAATTTAAGAAGAAATCTCTGGAACGGCTACCGCGATTACGGTAGCCTATTATACCTATAAAAATCTCTAATAAAATATAATATAGCTACAAACTCGGCGTGTACCCACAAAAGGACGACATTTCCAACTTCCACGGAATCAAAAACTAAAAAACGAGAAAAGCAACAAAAGAAATAATCATAACTATAACATAAGACAGTCGTCGAGGCGATAAACAAAACAAAATCGTAGCTCGGCATCTAAATAAAATGACTGCACGTAAAGGACGAAATATTTCCAGTATTTATTTTACAAATTTATGAGCGGAGATCTCATCTTTCTTAGTGCAATTATAGACCTGATGTATAACCAGGTTTTTCGAAAGAAGAAGAAGAAGAAGAAGCTCCAGGAGAACGGCTTATGCTACCTGAATATGTTATTACCTGTTTTTGAGGTTAAGTTCAGTTGCATCGTAGTCAGGACGATTAAGGACTAAATCGTCCAAAGTTTCTAAGGATCTAATTCTAACTATAAGAATATTTTTTTTGTTAATGATTCATGTTATTTGAGTTAGAGGAAAAGTTTAATTATTATCAGATTTTCTTGTAGATTTTTCATTTTTAGGATTAAATGATCGGTGTTATTCTTTTCGGTTATTATTTTCCTTTCTTTCGCTGAAAAAAAAAACTTATGGTTTTCCTTAATAGTCGGTTCTGTTGCATCGAGAGCGACAATTAGCCGCAATCTGCTCGACTATAATTCCACGTTGTTCGCATGGCATGCCTTGATCAAGACGTCCGAGATGTTTATTAATAGTTGGCCGTGCGGGTTATTCTTCTGTTCTTTTTTCTCCGTTGCGGTTAGATTTTCGAGATAGCGTGATGTATGGGTCCCATGGATTTATTGTTATGGTATGTGTTATATGGGTGTTGAGTTTGTCACCTGTCATCGACGATTACCCTCGAGACTGATGGACCCCATCGACGGGCCGAAACCTTTTTCGAGGGCCGCATAATTCCGCAATTTCGAATTGTAAATTGCCCGGTTCGGATTTCGATGCACTCGAACGCCGTTCGAGCGAAGGAAGTATTGGCCTTTACCTGGACAGAAGTTGATTTATAACCAATAAAATTCATTTGGCTTTTAAAATCCGTTCTACGGAATTATCGCGGCGATTAAAAAGTAATTGTTAATAAATAAAATACCCCAATAAAAACAAAAGATTTAGTGAGAGACCTGGTAACATGTCGGCCGTAAAGTTTAACTTGTTGGATATAACGAGAGGGCGACTAATATGGGCGCCTCTAAAAGTTACAATTATCGAAACACATATTTGTAACTCTATTCTGTATATAATGTTGCGTTCTAAATAGTTCAAAGTTGTAACAAGAAAATCGTTAAAACTCCTATAAATATATATGGGGAGAATTAATTACTCGAGCGCCCTTATTAAGGGAGTTGTATTATTTTTTTTTAATTTTCCCACCCTCCGATAGTCGATATATTCGTTCGTGTTATGTTAACCTTGCATTATTTGCGCCCATAAATTAACTTTTATATTTATTAATACCCCGCTTATTTCAGCAACTAATGGGAACTATATTTGTCCCCGCTTTCTGATAAGGGAAATTTTATGACGTTTTCGTATGCAACTTTATTTTTAACTTCGCTATGCTATTTACGGTATTCGTAAATAAAATTTACTAGCGCACGAAAGTAAAATTCAAATAACGAATGAAATTAGTTAAGACTGTCGCGCATATAAGATACAGTCCTTCATCGGAATCCCCGTCTATCCGGTCGTAATCCATCCGGATTGTATCTTCATTTCAATGTCATTTCTTGATGCTAGCGTCGTAGAAAATCAGGATTATGAACTTGTCCTTTCGCTAATATCTATTATTAATCAAGCCCAAATAGGGACCATGTGTCTCGAACTGTTTCGGTTGTCTAATTCTGACGAAGGATACGCAGGATTCCTGCGACAAAAAAGTCTACTATTGCAATGATTCTTCAATTTAGTTCGCAATTTCGATTTATTTACATCGAAAAACTAGGTAAGTGGAATCTGCTATTAATTAATCTATTCGCGGATCATTACGATACAAATTTACGGAGTATCAGAATTTACTAAGAGGAAGTAATTCGTTACTATTTGCTAATCTGGGCGTTGGTTTACGTGAAATATGAATTATACATTGCGATTTATTTTTAGTACGGAATAAACCCAGCGGAGAAATTAACAATGCTTAAAATATAGCAAGTACTGATATGTCTGTAGTGATGATAGGCAATTAAAAAAATAGCTCAAAAATTGTCGGGTATAATGCATAATCGATTCTTTTGAGAACAAGCGAAACCTTCACCTCGGGAATTTTACCAATCACGATTTGTAAGGAGTACCAGTTCCGAGGCATCTGCTCGGCTGAATTGAATACTATTAAAAACCCAGCGTGTCCCAGCGTTTTCAAACGCGGTAGCCTTGTGGCGATTTTTATTGAAGATCAATTGAATAAGGACTCGTCTCTCTATCATACGCAGTAGTAGGCCATTTCCTCGGTAGGCGGCCGAAATCAAAAGGATTCGATCATCGACCACCGAGTCATTTATTGGAGATGTGTATTTTCAATTGAAATTGACAATACCAGAGAGATACGTATTACGTACAATTTTTTTTTAATATCTTTTCGAAGGCTGTAGTTGAGAATATAAATATATACAGAGCTAATGAGTGTTTTCTTAATGGAAAACATCCGTTAAATTTTTCTGTGAACATCACTTAAATTCCTGTCGTTTTAATACGCTTATTGAAACATAGTACTAAAATTATCTCTAATACACTTATTTTCCTTAATGTATAAATTGGAAAGCTGCTTCCAATAATTCACGTTAATGGATGCTTTCGCTTCGGTTTATTCCGGCTATTTATTACATGTTTAGAACGCACTCGTCCGCCGAAATAAATACTTAAACATTTTCATAATTAGAAACGCGAACGGTTTCAACGGATTTCGATGCCAAATCGAATTATTAACGGCCGTTATTCATCCGTTCGAACGTTACATTTCGATCTTAATTATTTACCATTCTCCTCGCTTATTGTTAATAACGCGCGCAGTAAAAATAAATTCGCCGAGCGTCCGTTTTTCGCCGGTGAAATACTCGAAATGCCGACGTGGAATCGAAAGGCGCTCGTAAAAAAATCCGCCCGGACGATTATCGGCCCCGAGGATCGGGAATCGTTTACCGCACTGCCTGTACTTTCGAGAAAACCAACGAACGATCCTCTTTTAGTTGTTCACTAATGATTATTACCCTGTAGATCGATAAAACAATCGTCCTTCCGCGCCTATCTCGATTTGTATCGACAAGTAATGGGCGCTTCTCTAAATTCTTTTCTCCCGTCCGTTTTCGAATTACCGTCATAAAAAAGTCACCTTACATAGGCATCTGTTACCCGATTAGTGCATAAAAAAACGGCTGGAAAACTCCTGAAAACATTGAAATTTCGCACCAAAAATTTGTTACCTGTATGGTTGTACTAATCCCTAGCAGGAATTCCCCAAACTACTCTATTCTCAAGTTTGTATACTCTAGAATGGAGTTCGAGAAAAATGCTTTCATATTTCTTCCAATTGCTTAACAAATTTTATGAAATTCGCTATGAATTAAGATAGTAATTCGCAAAGGAATAGCGCATACCTCCATCCGGATTCTCTCCTTCGTCGCACACGTACAGTTACATATGTGGATCCGCTTTCCATCAGGCGATATTAATTGTAAATTGTATATACATCCTTATTCAACGTTCGATTGTTTACATACGAAGCACCAAAAGCAATTACTTGATAAGATTGGATGAATTTCTGGCTGTTTCTGGGAGATATATCGCGAACAAAGAGAGAGACGGATCCGTTTTATATTTGGTTTGAGTTTCGTGGATGATTATTCGGCTGCTCCACGTGCGCTGCAAGGAGGCGAAAATTAATTCCGAAACGTCGATGATTCGTTCGTTAAATTTTTGGTGCGCTTCCATAAATCGAACCCCCGTCAATAGTGGAGAATAACGCCCGCTCTCTCAAAATATTTACAGCGCTGTAAAATTTTAAAGACGGAATTAAAAAAATTTATACGCTCGTTAATACCGCCATCCCTTTGCAATAAAACGAAATACAGGTATAACGGATTAAAGTACAACCGAACGGATCACTAATCAAAAATTATATGGCCAATAATAACGTGATAACTATCTATTTTATATTCTTTGTTTCAAGAAAGATGGTACTAAAATACTGCCCGGTTTTTATAGGACCTCATCGGGTCGCACCGCTCGAATTACCGCTCAAAATAACTCGTTACCAAAATAGAGTTATTAATTAAAATTCAGATAAAAATTATGTATGCAAGGATCGAAGGAATTGTCCTCGTACAGGAACCAACCCCGTCTATTAAGAAAGCAGCAGCTGGTCTTGAACGGGCCCACAAATCAAATGGTACGGACGCTACGCGATATGACCAAGAAGAAGACGAGGCAAAAGAAGAATTATAAAT